AGGGGGAGAGGGGGGTGGGGGGGGGGGGAGGGGGAAACCCGGGAGGAGGGAGTTTGCAGGGGAAGGCAAGGGGAGGAAGGGGAGGAGAAGCTCAGGGCTCAGGTTTGGGGGTCTTGCCGGCCCAACTATCTCTCGGCACCATTGGTGCGGGGGCCTCGGCATCCCTGGGGATGTGGGGAAGAAGAAGTGGGAGGAGAAGAAGGAGTGGGAGGAGGAGCAGTAGCTGGGCTGGAGCAGCAGGAGGCAGCAAGCTCTGCCTCAGGGTTGATGACCACCTGGGGGGCACGGACCATCCTGCCCCCCAGGATGTGATCCATGGCATCAAAATAGGGGCAGGGGTCTGGGTCTGCCCCTGGTTGGGAGCTGCCCCCTGTGGCCCTGGCATACACCTGCCGCAGCTCCTTTGTTTTCATGCAAACCTGCTCCTGGGTTCGCATGTGACTTTTGGTGGCCAAGCTGGCAGCCATCCTCCTGTAGATGGTTGCATTCCTCTGCTTAGTGCGGAGATCATGGACGTTGGAGGCATCCCCCAAAACCTGAATTAGGTTCCTGATCTCTGCCCTGGACCAGGAAGGCGCCCACCTTCTCTGGGCCCTGGCAGGCTCCTGGGAGCTGGCATACTGCTCCTGGGGAGCGGTGGAGGGTTGGCTGGCACTTGGCTGCCTGGCTCATGCAGGGGCCACTGGGTCATGTGCAGTGACTGCTGGTTCTGGGCTGGCAGGCTTGGAGCTGGCACAGGTACTGTGGCCAGAGTCTATCCCTTTAAGGGCTCCGGGAAGGGAGGAAGGGAGAGGAGTTTTCTTGGTTGTGCTCAGAGTGGCCACCAGGGCATCCTGGGAAGGGGTGGAGACCCCCGATTTCGAAATAAGTGTCTACACAGCACTTATTTTGAAATAGCAATTTCAAAATTGGCGCTGTTCCTTGTGGAATGAGGTTTACCAATTTCGAAATAAACCCTCCGCTATTTTGGTTTAATTTCAAAATAGCAGTTTGGTTGTGTAGATGCTGGTAAAGTTATTTCGAAATAACGACTGTTATTTCGAAATAACTTTGCTGTGTAGACATACACTCAAATACTTTTCAAGTTTAACAAATCAGCAGTTTGTCCAGGCCAGTGCTTGTCATGCTATTAACTTATTTAGTCTTCCGGCGAATTTCTCAAATGGGTCTTCGTAAGCAGGAAAGATGGATGTCGTTTTTTTAGCTTGGGTATTTGTAATTTCATTCACAAGGTTATAGCATTAATAAATCCCCACTCTCCTGTTACTGAAATGGTGCACATGTACAGTTATTATATTAATGTAATGCGGTGCCTCTGAGTATGTCTATCATAAACAGTTGGGTTGACTTAAGACCTCTGAGTCCCACAGTATAAGTGGCTTGTGCCAATTCAGCTGACTCAAGCTCTATGTGATCTGGCCACCAGAGGGCACTAAAGAGCCATATTAAGTAAGCCTACTTGAAATTATGTGCCAGAAAGCCATAGGTGTAAAAATGTCACAGAAAATACAACACATTCGAGTTCTCTTTTGTTATTATTATGTCATTAATTTATAGTGCCCAAAAAGAGCGAGGCATCCCACAAAATGAATAAACACATGGCCAATGCCCTGGCAAGCTAAAATGAACATAACAGAAGCGACAAATGCACAGCATAGGAAAGTAAGAAGAAGCTCAAGAACACCAAACAGATTGATGATCAATCGTCAGTAGGATCACAGAGATACTATGAGAACTTGTTCCAGCACAACTGAAGTCAATGGAAATTTTCCTTTTGATTTTAATCGGCACAGGATTGAGCCTCGTGCCATGCACACATATTAATGTTACTGTCAACTGATGTGTATGTGGGTGACTCCTTTCCCCCCTCTTGATTTCCTATAGGTGAGACAGAAGAAGTAATATTTCTATGGAAGCTTTTAAAATAGGAAAGAGGGGCAACTTGTGGTGGGCTTTCCAAACATAACAAAGCATGAGAAAGGGCAACAAGCTTTGGAAGAGAAGGAAACATATGGGCTACGTCTAGACTGGCCCCTTCTTCGGAATAGGCATGCTAATTTCGAACTTTGGAATAGGGAAATCCGCGGGGGATTTAAATATCCCCCGCGGGATTTAAATAAACATGGCTGACGCTTTTTTTCCGGCTTGGGGAAAAGCTGGAAAAGGGCGTCCAGACTGACGCGATTCTCCGGAATAAAGCCCTATTCTGAAAGTAGGAATAAGAGATCCTCCGGAATAGGGTTTTATTCCGGAGGATCGCGCCAGTCTGGACGCTCTTTTCCAGCTTTTCCCCAAGCTGGAAAAAAAGCGGCGGCCATGTTTATTTAAATCCTGCAGGGGATATTTAAATCCCCCGCGGATTTCCCTATTCCAAAGTTCGAAATTAGCATGCCTATTCCGAAGAAGGGGCCAGTGTAGACGTAGCCGAAGAGTGTCAAGACCAAAATAAACAGTTGAGTAATAAGGTCCAGGTAGGTAATGTAAGAGGACAGAGGTAGGGGCAGCATGTTACTGATCCTTCAAAACAAGAGCAAGGATTCTGAAATTAGCAGGTAGCCATTGACTAACTCAAAGAAGTGACTGACATTACCTTGCACTTGGAAAAGAGCAAACATATATGATGAAAAAGTAAGCTAGCCATTAAGGCATTACGGTTTACAAAATCTTAACCTATATTCTTCAAAATTATTAAAACTAAATGTGAGCAGATAACTCACCCTTGTTCCTTTTGTTCCTGGTAGTCCTGGTTCTCCAGTATCACCCTGTAAGAAAAATGTAATAAATATGTCTTTCACAGAGACAAGGGTTTAGGGAAATTTTCCCATTTAAATATTAAATTTACACTACCTTAATTCCTGGTGCCCCAGGAGGACCTTCAGGTCCTTGCATTCCAGGAAATCCAACCACACCTTGTAGCCCAGGCAAACCTCTTTCACCCTACAAAGAAAAAGAACACATCAACATTAGAAAACTATGATTCTGCTGCTTCTAACTTCCAGTGTTTCCAGAGACAAGGTTGGTGAGGTAGTCTTTTATGGGACCAACTTCACTCAATTTTTTACTCAAATATCTTAGGACAGACACATCCTCAACAACACTATATACAATAGTATACCTTCCCTTGTAAGGCTGCATCAGCTGCCAATAGTAATTACAGATGATATATAGGTGGAGCTAAACATCTGAGTTTGGTGTTTGATAGAGAAATCTAACATCTGTAATGTCGATCTGTATAGAAGCATATTGCAAGGTAGGATGAACAAAGGAGACAGAGGTACACAGAAGAGTCATTTGTGTATTTAAAAGAAGAAAATGTACTTATCTCAGTCTTTCTGAGCAATGTTCTACATGACGACTCATGGTATCACAGGCATGGTTATCCATCATTGACATGCCACTACATTGCCCCTCTGTAACTTTTCCTCCAGTATGATCATTTTAGGAGTAGCACAGCTGCCACCACGTCTAGTAGCAAATTACATACATCTGAACAGTAAATATAAGGTGACGAGTAGTATAAAGTATGAACCACCATGCTCACTCCTCTAACATTTATTAGGCTAGATTCTTCCAGTTAGATAAAATTTTGTGTCCCAGAGGATGGTGCAGAGCCCAAGTGCTCTAGGAGAAGTTTGGGGTAAAAGTCCTTCCCAGGTGGCTTGGTGAACAGACTACCCCATCTATTAGAATTTTATTTTCTGCTCTCAGGGCCAAAAGAAACAGAGAGGTAGCTGGGTTAGTCTGATCGTGGTAGAACAAAAAAAGCAGTCATGTAATACTTTAAAGACTAACAAGATGGTTTATTAGGAGATGAGCTTTCGTGGGGCAGACCCACTTCTTCAGATCATATTCTGAAAGTCAGGGCCCAAAGAGTGACTTTTGATATCCTTGTGCTGAAAAGTCTTCTCCTATGGATGGGTACAGGCCCATATTTATTTAAATCAGATCATTCTTTTGATGACAGAAGACTAGATCTATCCCACATTATGAATTAATCCTGTAGCTACTTAATGCTCACTAACTTAGAGCCCCATATGAAACCAGCAGGAGTTCTGCATGCATTGTACAAGGATTATTATTTTTTAGTTTTATTATGGTAGCACCTAGCCAGAGACTAACTGAGAATGTTGCTTTAATATGCTAGACACTGTACTAAGAAATTTTAAAAGACAGTCCCAAATCTGACGAATTTAACGATCCAGGCACAGACCAAAGGTCCATCTTGCGAGATATCCTGTCTTCTGACAGTGGCCAATGTCAGGAGCCCCACCCCTGTTGCCAATTCCCAGTTCTGAAAGAGGCTAGGGACACCATGCCTTCCCATCCTGGATAATGTTCTCATATACTTATGTTCTTATGTCCTAAATTCCTATGCCATGTAAAATCCCACAACAAATGAAATAAGAAACACATTTCTGAATTTGCAGCAAAAAAAGGTGTGAAACCCTAACTGCACAATTGGTTTAAATATCAGGATCCAGGAAGAGGCATCTGACTAAATGTGGATGTAATTGTTCTAAAATCTGGAAGATATCAGAAATACTAAATGGATTACTGAGGTACTTAAACTCCATGTTTTGGCTGGCTTATTGGCACTGCAGTAGCAAGTACATCTACAGAGAACAGATGTTATCTTATTTACAAGCAGGATTTTACAATGAATCCTGGGCACTTGCTCCTGTGACCTGATGGGAGATGAATTAGGGATACAGAAGACACTAAAATAGATATCAACACAGTTGTCCATGGCTCAAGGAAAGCACAACATGTGCAAACGAAGGGGGAAAATGAACTCCAGTAGAAGTACGTAATTAAGTAATGCTTTCCATTCAAGGAACTCAAAGCATTTTACAAATGGAGCTCCTCAAAACACCCTTTGAGATGGGGAAATATTATTTCTCCCATTCTACATATGGGTAAAATTGAAGCAGTGAATGGTTATGGGCCTGCTTCTCATGTGCTGGCAATGTAAAGGGGCCTGGAAGTGAGTGTAAATAGCAGAGATTCAGGCCAAAGTCTGCATGCTGCGGTACTAATTTAAACAGAGCCTTTTGGTAAATGAAAATCAGGCCTAAGTAAATTGCTCTTGTTCACCTAGAGCTGTTTGTTACTTCACCATCTGCCTGGACTAGGGGGTAGCATGTAGCTGTATTGACCCAGCAGCAAAGAAGATAAAATAAAGAGTTTTAATCCCAGATTCTCCTCTCATCCCACTGTTCATGGAGCATGGGAGTAAGTTATTTTACCTCTTTTTGTGGAGCAAGTTATTGCCTGCTCTGTGCCTGGCTGGTTAACCTAGCAAGTAGGGGGAGAGGGGCCAGAGATCTTGGTTCTTTCTGTCCCTTGTCTGCCCACTCTCTTGCAGAGCAGCCTCTATTTTTCCCACTCTGCTCACCAGGACTGGAGTCAAAATCTAACCAGTGTCAAGCAAACTATTAAAAAAGCCTTAATCACTTGTGCGGCCATGTGAAGGCTGGGACAATCTAGTCCCCCGTGAGTCAGTGACAGAATCAGGAATCGAAACCAGGTGTCTTAGCTTCCAGTCTCCTTCTCCTACTTATTTGATTATGCAGGCCTGCATGCAAATGCTCACCCTCACATCTTTCATGGTCTGTCATGGGGCCAATTCCGGCAGACCTAGGGAAGGCAGGGATGGCACATTGCTCCAGCCTCCCTCCCCTATGCTCCGGCCGGCCAGGGGAAAGCAGAGAAGCCAGCCTCCCTCCCCCATGCTCCAGCCATCCAGGTGGTAAGAGTACAGCAGTGGTTTTCAACGTTTTTTCATCGGCAGACCCCTGTAAGAATTCAAATGAATGTGCAGACCCTTTTGAAAATTGACAGAAAAGCACTTGCCTACAGGTTTACAATATTGAAATGACTTCTCAAGCAGCTACTTCATTTTTCCTGGCAACAATCTGGATTTTAACTACTCAAGCTGCTTGCACCTGCAATTATCATGGCATGGGTTGTAAAGTTATACCCTGTAGGAACACATATTCATTCAAATAGACCTATTTTCCTCAATGAGGGTAATGGCATGAGTAAGGGCTAATCAGGGCACTTAAAGGCTCCAAAATTTGGCCCTTTTCCATCACTGTATATGCTGAAAATTAGCTATTTAAACAAATATTTGAGGTTTATGGACAGATGTTAGTAGCTCCAGCTTAATTATGACTCTTCTCTCACACACATACACACCCTCTTGCCAGATGAATCTGCCTGGAACATCAGAGGTTTGTATGTGTGCCAAGAGAACATTTTTTTCTTAAATGTTTTATGCAAAACTGATTATGCTGTTTTGAGGTGACAGTTAAAAAGATGCCACAGAACAGGTGATCTAACTTCTTTCACCATTTTCTCCTAGTTTTCCCCTTTTAACTCAATTTTTAGGAAAAAGTTGGTTTTGGTGAGGCTAGTTTTGAGTTTAAGCAGAATTATGTAGTTTCTAAAAATCTGAAACCTACGTTATGAGCCCTGAAGATTTAATATATCACTATAATTCTACACAGCCCTAATGCGGACCACACAAAATCTATGCTGTTATATTGTTTGGAGTTACAGAGTTTAGAAAGAAATCAATTGAAACACAGGGTATGTCTGTACTGCACACTTATTTTCAAAATAAACTATTCCATAACAGTTATTCTGAAAAAGCTTATTTCGAAATAGCACTTCTACACTGCAGGAAAGCCTCAAAACTAGTCTGAAGCAGACTTCCCTAATATAAACATGCTTTCTAAATTTAGAGCTCCACAAGGCACTGGGAAGCAAAAACTTAGAAGGCCCTGGTGAGGAGCTATTTCAACATAGAAGCAGTGGAGCATCTACACATGCCTTATTTTGAAATATCTATTTTGGAATAGGTGTTAATCCTCGTTGAATGAGGTTTACAGATTTTGGAATAAGCCTTCCGTTATTTTGAAATTATTTCAAAACTATTTAGAAATAACAGAATGGCTGTGTAGACATTCACATTATTATTTTGAAATAATGCAAATTATCTCCAAATAGTGGTGCAGTGTCGATGCACGCATGGAGAGCTATAACATCTTCACCACAGACAGTGACAGAGGAGGAGAGTCAAGAACAGGTGCTACCAAGTCAAGAGTAACCTGTTCCTGACTCACCATCCCTGTCTCTGCCTGCGGTGAACATAAACCTCTCCCTGAGCAGGCTGATCCGACAGCCCCACCTGTTCACCCTTCAAGTCCTGAGCCAGTTGTCAGGCCCACATCCATAACACCTTTGGGTGCAAGAACACTAGATGTCCGCCATAATCCATCTACAGAAAGAAGGCCTCCTCAAAGTAGGAATAAGAGATCCTCCGGAATAGGGCTTTATTCCGGAGGATCGGGCCAGTCTAGACGCTTTTTTCCGGCTTTTCCCCAAGCCGGAAAAAAAGCAGCGGACATGTTTATTTAAATCCGCGGGGGATATTTAAAACCCCCCCGGATTTCCCTATTCCCACTTTCAAAATTAGCATGCCCCTTCCGAAAAAGGGGCCAGTGTAGACGTAGCCGAAGAGTTCTTGGTCAAAAAGTCTTCCACAAGAGCCTATCTACACTGGCACGTGTTTTTGCGCAAGAGCATCTATGGCATTACACCTGTTCTTTCGAAGTGTAACTCCAAACCAGTGGCATTGCAATGGTGTAAAACAGACTGAGAGTTTTAAAACAAGGTGGAAATATTCACCATTAAGTAATTGGGCTTCGTTTTCCACCTTGTTTTAAAACTTTCAGTCTGTTTTACACCATTGCGATACCGCTGGTTTGGCATTACACTTAGAAAGAACAGGTGTAACGGAGCTGAGTGTCAGGCCCGATTTGTAGATGCAAATTACTGGAATCTGTACTTCTTTTTTTAGCCACAAAAGGAAGGATTAATACTAAACATTTTTCCATATTAAAAATAAATAAAATAAAGCTCATTTGCTTGTC